TCATCGTCAAGTATTATCTAATACATCGAAAAAATATCTTAAAGACATCTTGAAAAACATATTGTATTAATTTTTACAGTTAATTTTCGCTTATATTCACTAACTATTTAATAATATGTTGACGACTTCAAAAAAATAGGTCATTGATAGTTTTACGATTACGTTATGAGATCATTAGACAACATGTTATCACGTGTTAGTTACTATATTGTTGTGATTGTTTGGTGATAACTTAACCATATATTAACAAGTCACAGGTTTCTGCAAAGTAATCATCATTGTGGTACTGATTAATACATCTTTTGCCTAGTATACATTCTGACATTCACTTAGCTAAAGATTCTTTGTCTTTCCTATACCTAAAAATTTTAGTGTTAATTTATTTAATAAAATAAGTGCATGGCTTACTTTGCTTTTTTTACTTCATTGCTATCACTGAGCATTCATCATATTTCATTTCTAGAATAATTTAATAAAATAATAAATTTGAGTGATATAACCTAAACAGTTTAAATCACATCATTCTTTCGCAACTGCACATACATGACTCATCATTGAAATTTGATTATATGACTCTGTCATGTCTATAATGATCTAATCACGTTTTTTATCACCACCTTGATTTTTTTATCCAAACTTCCTTAACATGCAGGCTTTTCTAACTACACCAAAATATAACAAGTTCTATATTTATAAAATCCTTACAAATCAATATCAGAGATTTTGTAATACTTTCGAATATTATCGTATAGTAAATGCAAGAAATCCTGTTACCCAAAAGTAAGTTTATGTACAGAATATATTGATGCATGAAAAGATATTCGGCATAAACCTCAAGAAGAAATTGAAAGTAAAATCCAAGAATATCTGGCAATACCAATTCCAATCCAAGGTTTTTTGCAAACTAATTGTGCACAACCTGGCCCATCTCAAATCTCAAGGTCTATTCAAGCCACTCAGACCTTTTAACAACTAATAGAAGAGATGATCGTAGCTGATACTAATCTACCACCCAATGCAGCTGCACAAAAAAAAGTCTTAGAAACTATCAATGCAACTAACATAAAGCTTGCAAAACTTTAACGAATCTATAATTCTACTAATAACCTGAAAATTTGGAATAACTTAGTGGAACGCATAGCAAATCTTAAGGAAATTTTACACAATAAGGATAATAAGATTAAAAAATTAAAGCGTCAAGTAAGCTATTAACGTAAAAGCAGGAAAAAAAAGTAAAGCTTCTATAAGAATATCAAGAAGTAATACAATCAATACGAATCACCTGATTGTCTACCCTTTTGATTCAATATTTTAATTTGCATGAACATATACACAAATGTATCAAGTTTAAAGCTGCGGATAAAAAAAAAGAAAAGAAGTTATTAAAGTTAGGACCATCTGCCATCTCCAAGAAGAACTCAATTCAAAATATAATGAATACCTTTCTCACACCTCCCTCAGTAATTACCTTCTGCCATCTTAATTAAATTCTATAACTGCAAAGGCTTATTACCATTTAGCTAATATTGCCATTGCCTTCATTTCTTAAGATGAAAAAAAGAACATCTTGATGAATACTATTGTTTTGCATCTGTAAAAGGAGCAAAACAATTTGTGGCTTTATTTTTGACTCATTCTGTTATCATTTTTCAGGATAATAAAGCCAAAATTCCTCTTAGTATCCTTGCAGTTAAAAGAACTTTTTAGACTATGCAGAGTTTTCGAGAACTAATTACATTACCTAATTACGATTTTCTAATTGAAATGCAGCAAAAGCTTATTCTATCAGTCTACTTACTCATTAACCCAAACAATACAAACAATACTTTACATAATGGCCAACTTTCAATTTTCATATATCCACAATACCAAGTTGGTATAAGCTCAATCTCTCATATAAATGATCTGACTTTACTAACAAAAAATAGTCATTTTGATGAGATACTAAAAGTCGATAATCAGATCAAACCCATTTGGATTTTTTTAGTTGACGAAGGCTCAGATAAAAATCTCTGCCATATGAAAAACATTTTTCAATATTGTAGAATGTTCTGTGCCTTTGATCTTGATTACCTTTCTGTTCGAACGCATGCATTTGGTCAATCATATAACCCAGTTGAGCATAGTATGACAACGCTCTATTTCTAATCGGTAAATATAGTTCTCATCTCAATTCTTAGGATCAAGTAGTCAATTTAGAACTTGCAATGAAAAATATGCGTTATGCTAATGAGGTCTTATGTACTCTTTGGGAACGTGATTCTATCTTTAGAAAACTAATCACAATGCAATACATCGATCAAAAAAGTTCTTCATTCAGTAGTATTATATTTTTCAGATATGATAGAGAAAATAATAATGATGAATCAACTGTATTCTGACAATGGCTAGAAAATCACACCAAAATATGTCAATATTCTCTTAACATCAAAAAATGTGAAAATTCTCTCTGTTGCTTACCTAGATGTCATAAAGAGGTGGCCATTCTTTTTGCGGAAAACAATGGGTTTCTCCCACTTGTAATAAAAGAAAAAGATGAATACTTCTTAAATCCAGTTTATATATTAGAATATTGCAATAAGCTCAAAATACCTGGATATGATGCCTACTGTCCTTCTATTGATTTGAGTACTTATACTCATCTCTGTTGCTTTATTTACAATGCATATTTTCTGACACTTTCCATTATTACCTTACATAAGAAAAATCAATATCTAAGATAACAAGGACGACCAGCTAAACAAAAAAAGCAACTTACTAATTCTATCAATGATTTTTTAGTTGCATCTATATTAGCTAGACAAGTGTCAATCCTATATAATCAGGAAATACAATCAGAAGGTGAGTAATTATAAAATAGTTGTAATAGGAAGTAAAAAGGTTACAGCAAAGCTAGAGCAGATTTAAAGCAATATAAATAAAAACTATTATTAAATTTTGCGATATATTAGATCAATAAACTATAATAAATACATAAATTATAAAAAAAATACTTTCCAAAAAAAAGCGTCATACTTTTCTCAAAACAATGAAAAAGTAAAGGATTTGTAGCTCATATATATTTAAAGTTTATGTAATGTAATGTAGATCATCATATGATTTGCTTTTTTATTATGATTGGCTAATATAGAGGTAAGATTTTTGAGATTCTCCCCTCTATAATCACATCATATATGTAAGTCCCCTAATCAGAATTAGTATTAATTTTAATAAATCAATTAGCATATTAAAATCTTAAATTTGTAGATTTTTAGTAAAAATTTTAAAAATATTATATTTATTCTTTATACAATTGATTATAAAAAAACTTATAAAGATATCAATCAGATAATAAGATTAGTACAGTCAACTCTTTATAAATACATCCTATATAAATATATACCCTTTTTAAATGCATTACTTAGCTCAGTTCTAAATCAGAGAATTAATATTAAATATACTCTTTTCTTTATATACAGTAAAGATGACGCTATAACTAGTTGCAACTATGTAATACTTATTTATCACTGGTTGCAACTAGTTGCAACTCAATTTTTATTAATGTTGCAACTAGTTGCAACCCTGTAATGCTTATTTGTCACCAGTTGCAACCAGTTACAGCGTCATCTTTACTGGCAAATAACCTTTTACTACTTCATAGATGATCTCAAAAAAGATTGGAATATAATATGAAAACTGTTTTAGATGAAGGTTACTACATTTTTAGTATTTAAACAGTTTTATTCAGCATAGACAATGCTAATCTTATTCATTCTGTAATACTAGATTCTGCTATAAATGTTATAACACAGACGTCTAGATCCTTAAAAACTTTATGATCTAAAGGACCCTCTAAATTGACCATTTTACAGAATAAATAAAAGAAAAGGAAGAACTAGATAATTAAATTCTACTTCAAGAAGTAAAAGATTGATATAAAACTTTAACTGTAAGTGCTCCTCAAGAGTTCATATGCTTACCCATTATCATTTATCCATTTTTAGTTATCTTTTTTTTAGAGTGAATCTACTTATAACATTATACACAGAATCTCAGAAAAAATAAAATCTATTGACCTTGCCAAGCTCTCATTTAATAACCCATTACTCTTATTTATATTGGATCTGGATCGAATTGATCCTATTATTAATGATTTGATACCAAAATCTTTACTGGAAGAAGCAAACCAATATGAAAATATTTGAAATTGGAAGGGTTTTACGATGGAATTCATAAAGTGGATTGATAGCTTATTAAATAATCAAGAACTTCAAAATCTAAAAAGACAACAAGAAGAATGCGAATACATCAAAATTATATACCGATCCTTATATGTATTAATTCGCTAAATTATTTTCACTTTTTATGTCATTGATCATATATGTATGTAAATCAATTTACAGAAAAGAAGTGTGAGACCGTGATCGATATCAAAATAAGCTAAAAGATGATTATTCAATCCTTGAAGACATACATATTTACGAGATTATGCATAATATCATATACAATACAATTAAAGATTTAAATGGGAAGATTGCAATAGACTGGTAATATAATTAATGAAATATGTGATGAATATAATAGTGAATATGTAATTAATGAGAATTATATGTTACTAAAAATTTATTCATAAGAACTCGAAAGACTTTAGAGAAGGAAAATGAAAAAGTCGACTTAGACTATGATATATGGTTAAGTCAAATGAAGGCAACTGAATGGAAAATACAACAAATTACATTCTAATCACGAAACATTCCAGACTGGATGGCACAGTATCATATTGGTGATTTTTTGTATGAGTTTTTGTATGGTGAGGCCGCTGGTCTATCATATCAATCTACTACTGTTCGAACTGAAGGAAATCGTCAGAAATTAATTCATTTTATGTCTCGAAGTCTCAAAGTGTACGACGAGCAAAAGAAAACTTATCTCACAATTTTCTAATATTGCCGATGGCGATCTAATAGATGATGTTCGAAATATACCCTGTTTTAGAATGTTGCTATATGGTAATAGCTTTTAATTGATCATTCGCTATCATAATTAGTATTATGCTTATTACAATTACTATTACAATAATAATAGGGATAAATAATAAACTTAATTTATAAATAAATAACTTTAAACTAATCTTATATTAATATTATACATAATAAGTTTATATATATTATATCTATATTTTACTATTTTTAATATATTTAAAATTGATTTTATTTATTAAGTTAAATTATAAGCAAAGTTATTTGTAATATTATTGAAGTAATAATATTAAAATAATATTTAAATTTTTATGATTTATAATAAATTTAATTTAATTTAATTTAATTAATATTTCATTTAGTTTAATTTTAAAAATCATAATTATTATAATTAAATTATGAAATACTTAATTTAAAAATATTTTAATGTTATTATAAATAATAATTTTTGATTAATAATTTAAAATAAAATCTATTTATTAATTTTTATATAAAATAAATATTTTTACTTAAAAATATTTAATAATAAAAATAATAAAAATATTTTAATATAATATTTAAAATTAAATATAAACTATTAAAACAGTATTGGATTTTTAATATATTTTTTGATTTTAAATATTTTAGACAAGGTTTTAGACATAAAAAATGTATTTATAACCTGTTTAAAACTGTTTAAAACTGTTTAAAATTGTTTAAAATTATCTAATTTTCTAAAACTAAAATCAAATTTAAAACTTATAATTTATATTAGAATATAAATTTAAATATTATAATATAATAAGATTTTGATTTTAAAAATTATTTTTAAATTAAAATTTATGAAATAAGTTTAAAATATTATTTTAGTTAAAATAAAATAAGAAATAAACTTAATAAGATAAATAAAATATTTAATTTTATAAATAATATATAATAAACAATAATAATAAAATTTAATTATTCTAATTTATTTTTTAAAAAAATAATTTTTTAATTAATAATAAGATTGTAAAATAAAATAAAAGTAAAATAAATGATTTAATATTAAATTTAAAAATAAGAAATTAAATAATTATATAAAAAATAGGAGATAATATAATATAAAATAATATTAATTTATATAATTATAAAAATAAAATTTTTAGTAAAACATAATTTAATTACATAAAAAATAATTATTATTAGTAATAATAATATTTAAGATTTATTTTATAAATTAAATAATTATTATTAAAATAAAAAAAATTAGAAAATTTCATTATATATTATAATTTTAAATAGTATAAAAAAAGAAATAGATAAAAAAAAAGAATAAAAATAAAGGTTCTTAGTTGATAAATATTTATTAATTTAATAATTCCGAAAGAACTTATTATATTATACACACATAATAGAAATTTAAAATTACCCATAAGGGTGCTCTAATTTTATGATAAAAACAAAGTTTTTTTGAAAAATATCAAAATATAAATGTAACTATTTAACAACTAATAAAAAATAAATAAGATAAAAATAAAATAATAATAATATTAAATCTAAAACAAAATTTTTAAAATTATTAAGCATGTTTAAAAGTAAATAGAGGAAAAATAATTAATAAATATACCTTTAAGAATCAAATATATAATATACTCAATGTATATGATCTTTAAGGTCTCATCCACAATTTAATATGCCCCTTTCGACAAGTAGTTATAATCGAATCTTCACGAAAAGTTATTGAACACAAAGGATCAGAATCGATCGATTTTGCCTAAAAATTATTTTTTAATAATTAATAAACAGCAAGGAATATTCTAGATATATATTTAATATATTAGAATATTTACCATTACTGGTTGCAAAATAGCCACTTCTGATCTGGGTAAGCATGGATGAACCGTGTTTTTTGTAAGTTCATGTTCAACTATATTTCGCCTTAATGCGACTGTAGTTGCATGTGATTGTGACGCTAAACTAGCCCTACGATGGCTACCAAGCTAAATACAAAATTAATGGATCCAAAAAGTAAACAAAATGCTATGAAAAAAAATAAAATATACCAAATAAAATAAAATAGGATAAAAGACATAAATTACATAAAAGATGTTTGGAAACAATATCAACATACGCTCTTAGGCTTGTGTAACGCGTTCACACTGAAATCCCACAATAATAATTTTGTATCTTCGCCTACCGAACCAAAGCGATAATTACGTTCGTCACATCGCCAGGGGTCGAAAGACACCCCGGTTACCCAGGATTGATGTCCTTGACATCGTGCTACAATACGTTGTTCCCGAAAAGCCCATATAGTAACTAGATCATCCTGACCACCTGTTAAAACATACCTACCATCGGGACTCCAGCACACACACAAGAGCCCGCCAAAATAACTACTATATGTATCATATAATCTGAGGTAAATTAAAAATAAAAAATAATATATTTTAATCGTTTCTTTAATAAAAGAACTCTGTAGTATTTGTAAAACATACACTTCTTCTACAAAATCTATTATTCGTAAACAACCATCCACAGATACAATTGCGACGTGCTGACAATCAGGTGAAAATGCAAACGCTAAACAAAATTCGAAAGTTAATCTTGATTTTTCCAAAAAAAAAAAAAAAAAAAAAAAAAAATCTTACCCGTCACAGATTTTTTTGAAACTTGCCAATGTGATACTGGATTATGCTTGGCATTTTTAGATGGTCTTGAAACGTGGAAACTTTAAGATGCGATCCAAAAAGATTTTATTATTACTTCAAATTAATAAAATATCATGCTATGTTATTATTAAAATATATAAATATTCTATAATCTATATATTTAACTTAAAATTATTAACCCACCCACCTTTCTTCTTCATTTCCAGTCGATGCCGTAAATGATTGATCATCCTTATCTTTATCATATATGATTATTGATCCATCCGAATAAGACGCCATAAATAGATTTTCTGATCCCGGCATCCATTTAACCATAGTAACAGATGAACTATTTATTACTCCCTATGAAAATATCAACTTTAGAAATTGATTCATAAATAAAAACTACATTCAAAATTATTAGAATTTTTTTTGAAATACCTGCTTGTTGAGTCTATAGTATTTGTTACATAGCGGATCGAACCAAATGATATCACCCGATGAAAATCCGATAATAACATCCAAATGATCGCAAGAGCGGGTGAGCTGGTTCACATCATGACACATTGGATGTGCTTTGGTGAAGATTACCTTAGACAAAAGTTCCTATAAGGTTATATAAGTATAAAAAATGTTATATAAAGAAATATTAAATTTTCAACGATTTCAATTCCAACAATACCTTTGGCTTATTAGTCAAATCCGTCCAACAAAATGTTCGCCCTGAGTTAAAAAATAAGTAAGTATCTTCATTCTGTCGATTCGCCAATATTTTTGTTAAATTCTCATTCTGAACAATTTTTGCAACAAAAGATGATGTCGTTTTAGCGATATTGTTTTTTGTTTTTTTCCGTTTCATCACAGGGTTAAAAAATGAAAACACATCATCCTCCTTTTTGCCCTCGATCGAGGTTGGGACGGATCCATTGCTAGGTTTCATTGGTGATGTTTGAGTTGGGGAGGTCAGGTTAACATTATCCGTAACCTGTGACGAAGGGTCAAAGTTTTGTGACTGTGGAGACTGTAATTTTTCTAAATCTGAAGAATCGTCCATATCATCTACTACTAGTGTGTTTTCTGCACTAGAAGTCGACTGATTATTAGCAATTTGTTCTCCAACTCCGTCAATCGTATTTTCTCCATTGGGTGAAATTGGTTGAGTTGGATATTCTTTATATTTCACTGAAACTACAGAAACTAACGTCCCGCCAGTCAAACTTGGTAAGCCATTATCTAGTATAATGTCGTCTTTCAGGATATACTGTCCTTCTACAACTAAAAAGTCCTTACATTCGTTCGAAGTGGCTGCCATTTAATGCTAACGCAAGTAAGTGTAAGTTTGAGATTTAAAAGTTTAGAAAAAATAAGATCTAAAAAATGCGATCTATCATTTAAAAAGTTTGATGTTATCTTAATTAACCTATAATTGTAATATAGCTTCGCTTGATTTAAAATTTAAAAATTTTCAGGTAATTCAACTTATGATAAGATTAAGCTTTATTAAAGAGAAGAAAAAACCTTGATCAGGTATTTGAAGGATATTCGAAGAGTAAATTTGGTAAATCAATTTAAAAGCATCGATTTTATTTGCAAATCAGTCACCACCTAAATTATTGCAACGAGTACAACATAGTAGATCATATGACTCGTAACGTGATTTCCAACACGTGTAAGCTATCTAAATATGATCTAATCTTTTTATTATCGCTTTTTGCAACGTTACAAATTTAAAAATTCCGATTAGATTATTGTTTTTTGACGCCAAACATAAATTTTACCACAAACCAATCAAATATTGTTATTTTAATATCGATATTACTTAATACAAACAATTAATATTTTATAATCTTAATTTGCTCTAATTCTCATAACAACTTTTCTTTGATTTCTGTATTGGAGTATTTCACGTCTTGCCAGTATATCAATGGCACGTTGTACAACTTCTGGTTTAAATTGCTTTATCATTAAATGAAAATAATTAATACATTTGTCTACACTTTTAAATATATATGTATAATTATAATACGTACTCTTTCAAATTCTTTGATTATACGTTGCGTAGAAGCCCTTGAACCTACAGCGATGCGACGCTTAATTTCCTCTTCGACTATCTCTATTTGTCTTCTTGCTTCAGAGTGATGCATTCCCGGAACTAAATTGATAAATCATTTAAGATAATATGAAACATGAAAGGTTTTATCGTTTAAATAAAAAGATATCTTCTTACTATCACATGAAGATAAAGCATTCATAGTAGAGTGCTTGAATAAACGCATTGCTTGTTCGACGTGTTGTACAGTTACGCGTGGAGATAACGTAACCTTCGCTATGGATTCTGAAATTCGAATAATGGCTTCCAATTGTCTGATAGAAATAATGATTAAATTTTGTAATAAATTTTAACAAGTAACTAACAAAGATTCATATGTACCTGATTGTAATAGGAATCGAAGAATGTCCATGTTTATTTTGGTCTGCACGACTGGCCTCAGCACGTATACTTACAAAATGACTACTTAATTTTTCTGAAGCTTCTGGAGATATACGAGGGGCACATCTTCTGTAAATTGATATATTATGTTAAAAATGCATGTTTATCCATTTGAAACACAAATCTAATCTAATATATCGAAATAATTCACTTACGTCCTAGCATAGCTAATATATTTCTTCATTTTTGAAACATCAATTTCACCAACTGAAGATTCCGGTGGTGCCCGGTTCATATGCACCATCATCACATGTTTAGCTATATCCTATATAAATATATACCATTAACGTATTATATTAATAAATTGCAATCCATAGAAACATTAATATTATTTGTATTAGCTACTTTATCTCTTTTTTCATCATGACTATCTTTTACGATAAAAATCATATCAAATCTTGATAAGATTGTGGCTTGAAAATCAATATTCTAAAAACAAAATTATAATAATAATAATAATGAATATGAATTTGTAACGATAATAATAATAATAATAATAATGTTTAAATAAATATTTACTTCATTAGGTGCTTTCATATCATCATAACGACCTTTTATAGGATTAGCAGCTGCTAAAACTGATGTGCGGGAATTCAATATCGTGGTTATTCCAGCTTTAGCAATGGATATGGTTTGTTGTTCCATTGCTTCGTGAATAGCTACTCGATCTTCTTCTCGCATTTTGTCAAATTCATCAATACATATGACACCACCATCTGCTAGTACCATTGCACCACCTTCCAAACGAAATTCACGCTAATTAAAGTAACAATACAACGTATTAATAAATCGAAATTGAACATAAAACTAAAAGAAATTACATTATAGAATAGTAACATGCTTACACTTGGGCCATCTCGTACAACAGCAGCCGTAAGACCGGCAGCACTGCTTCCTTTTCCCGATGTATATACTGCAACTGGTGCGACCTTAATAGTGTAAATGATTCATTATTAAATTATTCTCAATATATCTTGAATAATATTACTGACCTGTTGAACGAATTTCAAGAATTGACTTTTCGCAGTACCAGGATCACCTAATAACAATACATTTATATCACCTCGTAATTTCATTCCGTCTGCAAGGATTTTTTTACTTCCACCAAAAAGCAAGCAAGTAATTGCTTCTTTGATGTCTAATAATTAATTATTGAAAATTTTCTTAAAGGTGATAAAATTTGTATCGGTTCTTTAAAGGAAAATATTTAAGTACCATGATTTCCATAGATTGATGGTGCGATACTATTTGTAAATATTTTATGAAAATTTGGTCTGCGCGACATGGCAATGATTTCTTCTTCTTCAGCATGTGTGAAAGTTGCTAATCCTTGTCCATCTTGATCCATGTCAAACTCGAGACCAAGAGAGCGTATATAAGGAATACGAGTCCCTATACCTTGACTTTTTTTCTGTAATTTAGGATAAATTTAAGCATATAGGTTTCAAAAAGATACAGAATGAAATCATTACGCTAATAGAACTTACTTTGTTGGAATTATTGTTGAAAACATCATATATCCCTACAATATTAACGCGCCTTCCTGGAACGGCTCTATCAGCCAAATATCTATTTATATATAAAAAAAAGAGATTAACAGAAGAAATTTTACAACAAATTAAACACAAGGATTATAGCGAAATAATGACCTATCTAAATATACTGTTATATGTCGTGGCAAATCTCCTACTGGAAGAAAATCGGGTGCTTCTTGAATCTTTAGTACTTGCTGATCCACATAAGTACACCTGTCATGTATAATAACAAACGGGTCGATGCCACAATCCTTTGGACCAACTCCAGATGGATCACTAAAAAAAAAAAAAAAAATTCAATATAATTTTTTACTAATTTTTTTTAAGATAAATGTATATAAACCTATCACAAGTTCTAGGAAGCTGAACGCCTGAAAAACCACTAGCTACTGGTAACATCTTAAAATGTCGACACGTTTTACACATGATTTGAACATGCGTTGCCTTTGAAGTCAAATTAGTGGCTGAAATTACTATTCCAGATATTCGAATGAGCTTAGAAATGTGATCCGCCTAAATAATAGTTGTTAAAACATTTATAATTTTCTTTTAACTTGAGTGAGAGAAATAAAAAAAGAAAAAACAAAAAAGTCCCCTCATGAAATTCGAGCTTACGTTTAGTTCACGCATCATAATGTTTGCCTTTTGGGGAGCACGAAGCACGACTTGAAAAGGTGGAATTTCAATATCCACCTCAACCAAGAGTTTTCTTGCGAAGCTTTGTACTGCAGACTCAAACTTGATAAATTCAATGTTATACGTAAGTTTTTTAAAATATTTATCAAATACAATAGCGTATGAATTTTACCAAAGGCATCATGTCTGCAGGCGTTTCTTTCAATTTATCGGAAAATTTGCGATCATAAGCATCAAGGTGTTCAATCGAAACATCAACATAGTAATTTCGACCTTCAAAATTTCTTTTAATTTTTTCTCTAACGAATGAAAAAAAAAAGTAGTTTTAAACATATGTATTATACGTTTTTAAATTTGAAATATTGAAATATACCTGTATATGAAGTGTTCTTCGACGCGAAATTGATCTAAAAAGGTTATAAATTTTAGTTCAAGCGAGGTACGCGAGTCTTTTTCAACTCTTGTTGGGTGAAGACCAGTATGATAAGTTTTTCCTTTATCCCAGCCAAACGGAGCAGCCATTTCTAAAAGAGATATGATAGAAAATGATATAACAAAAGATTTGACACGAAACTTTCAAAAAGCTCGAGTTAATAACGCGCTCGTGTAATTGTACCTAAAATGGTTAACAGACATCGGGCACAGATTTTCTGCGGTAATCAAAGCATTAGAAACCCGACATTAAAAAAAAAAAAAAATTTTTTTTTATTATAGTAATCTACCAAACCATTTAATAGCTTTAGAAAGATTAGCTAAAAAATATATTGGATAAATTACACTAAAATGGTTAGAATGTTAACTACTCGTATTACTTAGGTTTCCTGGTTCTATGTTTATGCTTTTCGCCTTCTAGTTTGCTTAGAAAATCTATTTCCATAAAACTTCAGATCCTTTACATGTTGCTTGGTCTCTCCTACACCCTTTTAATTATCAAAAATGAAAAATGTTGATTCATGATTAATTTTGTTTGATGAGGTATATAATGTCAAATTAGTATCTTACATTTAAAACCACTCAGTTGCTAAGAATGAAATACGTAGTGTTAAATTAACATCCTGTTATTTATGTCCCATTTGATAGCTGTGGATGAGATACGGATGCTGAATTAGTAGTAATCTAAAGATAATTTTATAATATATTCTATATTAATTTTACAAAGGTATACTACATTTTGCATTTCTAATTCTCTTTCTAGTATTGTTGATACTTTGGGATACTATTATATTCAATTTATTCAATCGTTAAAAAAGTAATTCAAGGCATAATTTTATAATATATTTTATAATAATTTTATCTTAGATTACTACCAAAAAATGTTATATTTTACGATCTTTACATAATTAATTTTAAACATAATCTTTCTTAGATATTATTGATTACTTAGAATATTATTATATTAATTGCTATATGGGAAGTTTGCTAGAAAATCAGGCTCTGTGAATTTTTTAACAAAACTTTGATTTTTATTGTATTTTAGTTTTTGATGTTATCAGATTAAAATGTAATAAGGTTTTAATTTAGTCAAAAAATTCCCAGAACCAGATTTTCTTAGTAAACTTCCTATATAATATTAATTGCATTAATTATTTTAGAAAATTATTACTACTAACTAAATTTCTGTTACTTTTAAATTTATTTCTAAGAAAATGAAATTTTTCTTAATAAATTTTAAGAAATCTGATAAAATTTTTTTAAAATTCTAGTTAATTGATTTTAATATTTAATCAAAAAAATCACTTAAAACTTGTTTTGTTATTATAAAAAATAATTAAATGAATTAAAGAAATTTTGTATTATCTTATATAGTTTAAAAAATATAAAATTTATATAATTCTAAAAAAAAGTGAAATTATCAATGGAAAGAAAGTGATAAAATATAAATTTGTCTATCATTATATAATAATAGATAGTCCTCTAATTAAAGGTGTAGATGAAACCAAAATCTTAAAGTCAAAACATTTCAGTTTTCAAGAACTAAAATCTGAAACTTTCTGATAATCTGAAACTAAGACGAAATTAGCAAAATTGGCAAAACTAAATAATACTAATGAAACCTTCTGAAACTAGTTAGCCAATAAAAATAAATGCTGATTTAAACCTTTAATACTATTTAAAACTAATCTGTGCTAATTAATCAATAAATTAATTAAAGTTACTATACTAATTAATACGCTATTTACTCATAATATACAATTAGTATATAATTTATTATTTATTAATTCGATATATCTAAAAACAAAAATTTCACGCTTAAAAAAGTAAAGCAATTGAAAAT